AGTGGGAGTACTACAAAGGTAACATTAAGAAGGAGCCGTTACAGCCTGATTCTCAGTCCGCCAGTCAGCCACTCCGACGACAGTTCGACCGTCGTTTTCGACGATGTCCACCGCGAGCTTCAGAAAGCTGAAGGCAAACGGGGTGACTCACGCTGGATTATTGTGAAAGTAGACTCGCGGACCACCTGAAACTGTATGTGTGCATGCAGTTAAATTGTGTGAATTTCTCAAAGGAGAACAGAAATAGATGTACTACAATCGGCTAACACTTTATGATTTCAGTAAAGGTAGTAGTTAAAAACAGTCTGGTTTCAACGATTAAGTTTGTTATAATTAAGTCCCATTCGAAACGGCATATATTGTCGTGTTCGAGCAGTATTATGCATTCATGACAGAGAAGCCGATAGTCAGTGTTACTTGGATGAAAAAGACTGGAACGCTTCAATTTAAATCCAATTGCAGAATGTTTAATGGATAAACGGTCACCCAAATCCATGTCCTGCACCTCAAAATGTATGATATTATTGCCCTGATTATTATCTGGAGTTCGAGTACCAGAGACCACACACATAAGACTAGGAGGCTCACTGAAAAGCCGAACACTTTAGTGCTGCGTCATACAGCAGCAGCAACAGGAACATCGGTGAAACAAGTGTCTAGTCCTTTAGCTAGTACCTATGTCGGGAGTACGATATAATATATTTGACGGACGTGTGGGTGAAAACAAAGATTAAAAAAGGGTGTCAGCTTGGGATGACGGCTGAGACCGATGGGAATACTGGCGACCATTACCAATATGCAAACACTGGACCCGGCGAGACAGCAATCCGGTAATTTCCTCCAGTGGCGTGATTATTGAGGACCTTCCACTCACCCCACCCCACTGCCCTGTCTTCGTAAACCCTCATTAACAATGAAAGTCACCACCTGTGGATACTGTGAGGCGCGGTTCCACTCCTACCTCCGACGACTGAAGCTTGACAGTTTTTGAAACGTCATGACAATGCAATTATGGTTCGTGAAATCACCTTTTCTTCGTTGGACTTCTAGCCAACAGGTCACGTGTTCGAACCTCGTGTGCCTGGGATTGAATATGTCTGACTGATGACGACTAACTAGTCAGAAGGGACCATTCCAATCTTCCTTGTCCGTGCCGGTAATGCTATCCACCTGGACCACTAGCCGCTCAGGGCTCGAGAATGAGCTCAAAAACAGAGCGGGACGAGTCAGTTCCGCTAGTGATCAGTGGGCGTTCATCAACGAGTGAAGGGAAACCGACTTACATCAAGGAGACCGCAACGACCATTTCCGGCCTATTAGCCGTCATCGGCCAGTCATACCCAATCCCTTGATATCCGCATTCCTAGACATAATTGAAAAAAGGTGAGGTGATCACAAAAACCCTGGATTTATTATTCAGACGTTTCGAAAGCAAAGAAGCTTTCATTGACCGCTAATAAGCCAGAAATGGCCATCCTAGTCTCCCTTTTCTTTTCCGGAAATGTCCTTCTACGTATATACATGTATATTGTCAATGATAATTTTTGTACTGCCATGGTATACCATTTATGGGTATGTTTATTGTCTCTATGCATCAGATGAGATCAGGACAGGACCCTATCGTCAACTTTTCCACCCCGAACAACTGATTACGGGCAAAGAGGACGCCGCAAACAACTACGGTCGAGGTCACTACACCATCGGCCGGGAGCTAATAGAGCTGACACTGAACCGCATTCGCAAGATGGTTGAACGTTGTTCCGGTCTGCAGGGCTTTGTGACCTACCACTCCTTCGGCGGCGGCACCGGCGCCGGCTTCACCTCCCTCCTGCTGGAGCGA